TGCGGTGCCTGTGGCGGCGTCCGCGAAGAGCTAACGCCAGACGACACTGGACGTGTTCGTTTCGCATGTCATCGTTCCTACTGCACGTTCAGCTCAAGATGCATGGAACCAATGGTTTACCGGGGACCCGCATGTGGGCCTGTTTCAGCCCCTGCGATCGTTCAACAGGCAAATGATTCGGGCCGACCGCCGCAAGTACTCGGAGCGCTTGACATTGTCGCTGGCCTTCTCAAAGTATGTTAGTTTTGAGATGTTTGAGGCTGCATATGCAGGACACACTAGCTCGTATAGCAATACCTTGATCAAGGTGCGCAAGAGGAAGCGTGAGGGAAGATTGTAATGCCATGTTGTTGACTTTGTCTTTTGTTTCTGAGGTGGCCATAGCAGGGACGACCAGGGACAACCGGGGACGACCAGGGACGGGGTACAATGAGACTCTAATTTCTCTCACATCGTATTCCATTTATTCAACCAATCAGGATGCATCATTCAAACACTGTTCTAGCTAATCATAGCGTTGTCGGATTGAAATGTCGTGGGCGACGAAAAAGGTCTACATAACGTTACGACGCATTCGTCTTGCTCACTAATTCATGACCATGACACATACACCATTTTTCGCTTAAGTTCAGGTTATTTCAGGTATATTTCGACCGATGCACAACTTATTCACGCCATGTGCGTTATGTCAAAAATTCGAAATATAATTCGTCCAAGCCCTACGTCGTTGCATTATATTTCGACTAATGTCCGGTATCGCCCAGGCGGTATATTTCAGACGTTGTTCAATATATTTCAGACGTTGTTCAATATATTTCAAATGATGTTCCATCTATTTCAATTTTCGAAGCAAATCAAGTAAATCGCAGGTGGTGGATACTTGTCTAAATCATAGATACAGTATTGTGCTTTCGAACTAAATTTGGTATTTTCGGTAGATTCGACGAACGACGTCAAATCCACATGAAATTGTCGAGCGTCATTTTACTTGAACTAAATATACCCACTCTCCTGTCCACTACAATGTTGAACTCTTTGTAAAATGGAGAAGCTTGGCAATCCACCGGATACGCCTGTAATTTGATTGATCGTTTTTTTCGAAAATTTCATTGGCTACTTCGTTCCGTCGATTACTGCGTCGATTTATCGAAATCATGTAATGGAACATCATTTGAAATATATTAATAGTAATGAAATTGCGTATGGCGCGCAATTTCATTATCCGGATACCGGATAATGCGGTGCATGTTTTTGGTGTTTCATCACTGGCGAAGCGTTGTTGAGGATGTCGCTAACGATTGCCGACTTTCTCAAAGCGTCGTCGACGGAAGCGTCGGCTCATGCGGGCACGCCGGCGGACACAGGATTGACCGTGTCGGGCTTGACCCATCAGCAGAAACTTCCATCTGCAACGCCGTACTTGTCGCTCACGTGGAGTAAGAAAGGCAAGAAGTTTGTCGTGACGGACCAAACCCTCGTCGACATCCTGTCAGTGTACGGTCCTGTGAAGCAGGTGATCATGGGCACGGGGTCACGGAAGACTGCCATCGTCGAGTTCGAGCGCGTCAAGGATGCACAGGTCGCGAAGCAAGCACTGGACGACAGTGGCGCGGTCTTCCACGGCAAGAAGTTCCACGTCGAACCAGCCATGTTGCGCAAGGCGTTTGAAGTACGAACACCACTCCCGATAGCTTTCGTGCGCACTATGATAATGGTTATCATTCTAGGACGAATGCAGTTTCAACCGTGTGCCCAACTACGACAGCGCGCGGCGCCAAGTCGACCCGGCGACGTTCGTGCCAGGGTTGCTCGTGTACAACGACTTCATCACGCCAGAACAAGAGACGTTGCTGCTGGCGGAATTGGACAAGGCCGAGTGGAAGAACGACGTGCGCGCGCGCCAAGTGCAGCACTTTGGCTACGTGTTCAACTACAAGACGCAGTACGCTGTAGGATGTTGGAAGACGTCATTCACGTGTCGACGTGCCGTAGAAAGTGCGACGCGTCCACGCCCCTCGAGGACATGCCGCCGTTCTGCCGCAGCTTGATCGACACGATGCCGCCAACGTTTGACGGAGTCCCGGACCAAATCACAGGTATGTAGTCGACCTCTGTCACATGTTTCTAGTTCCAACCTGTGGGGAAATGCTATTAGCCAACGAGTACCTTCCTGGTCAAGGCATCTCTGCTCACATTGACACGCACTCTGCCTTCACGGGCTCCATCGGGACTTTGAGGTAGGACTTTCTACTGTACATGGCAAGGACATCCACATATAAATAACATGCAAATCTATATATTCAAATTATATATGTTGAAATATTGTTGCTTTGGGGTAAATATTATTTATATTATATAATACTGTAGTATAATTACCACCAATGACGAAGTTGTTGTTGAATAGTATATTATATAGTTTATACAGGCAACTACTATACCAGTTGAAGTTGATCATGATAATAATGTTACTGCTTGGTAGCCTCGGCCATGCGAGTGTGATGGAGTTCCGACACCCAGAAGACGGTCGATGCGAGACGTTCCTGCTGGAACCTCGTGCGTTGTACATTATGACGGGCGCGTCGCGATATCAGTGGACTCACTGCGTGCATCCTCGGCTATTTGACGTGGTGGACGGCGCCAAGGTCCCGCGACGCCGCCGCGTGTCGATCACGTTTCGAAAGGTGAGACACCGTTCGTTCCATGGAAAGTTCTCACATTGTTTGTCAATGCAGTTGCAAGCCACGCCGTGCACGTGTGCGTACCCAGACCAATGCGACTCGCAGCAGTACACGGAAGCCACGACGTCGACGGAGAAGATGAGTCCCACCGAGATTGAACAGCGCTATGTTCACGACTTTTACGAAACCATCGCCGAGCACTTTAGCAGCACGCGGCACTCGCCATGGCCGCGTGTGGAAGCGTTTGTGCGTGGGTTGCCTCTGGGCACGCTCGTGGCCGACATTGGTAGGACACTCCGAACACTAATACTGTCTTTCTTTTACCCAAAATTTGGCCCTTTTGTACTGATTCTTTGCTAAATCTATCGATCGATTCTTTGACTTTTGTATGTAAAGATCGTCCAGTATCACACTAATGTCAGTCACACACCAATTCGGCGTTGAATTGGTCGAAGAGTTAATTTGATTGGCCACTTGATTCGTGTTCTGGATTTTGATTGGTCGTATATCGATTGTCTGCCGATTTGGTGATTCTGCTCATTGGATTGAGAACCCCACTCCAAAAATTTCGAATATATCGACTTGACAATATGACGTGTCGATACTGTTGTTTTGATGTGAATTGATTTCGATCTCTCTAAACCTTATATCAATACATGTCGAGGATTATTTCAATTGTTTAATTTGATGTTATGATTTATTTATTTTTCGATCCCCATACCTATAATTCCTGTCGAGAGAGAAAGAGGGTTTGGATAATGGTGTGTTTGGTCAATAGGATGTGGCAATGGCAAGTACATGAAGTGCGTGGGCACACCGAGTGGATGCGTTGGCGGCGACCGCAGCGAAAGGTATTGTGCTGTTCAGCCAAAATGTGCCTATTTTGGGGGATTGATAAAATCGCCAACAATTCGAGCAAACGAGTATGATTGGCTGCAAAGAATTAAGATTGCAATATGATTGGCTAAAAATATGGATTGATGACAAAGATACCTCTTCAACTTAATTTATATGAAATTTCGAAGGTCCGGCGATTGTTCGGCGGTTGATTCAACTAATCGCCATAGGAAATTACGAGTACAACACACAATACGAGGGTGGCGAGTGGAGTTGTCGGGATTGGATATTGTCCTTTTACCTGATTCGCCAAATCATCTACCGATCGATTCTTTGTATGTAAAACGGTGTCCTGTGAGGATTGATATCACACTAATTGAAGTCACACACATTAATTACAAGTTGTTGATGGTTTCCTGCAATCTGATTGGCTAAATCCTTCTGCCGAGGATTCTTCTATACATTACTAGGGTATTGGGTAGTGTCGATTCATTCATTATTGTCCATTGTTGTAGCTCCAGTTTAGAATATACACAACAATATGTACGATATAAAAGAGGTTCACGGGATGTGATGAATGGCAATTATTTGGCTACATGTCGTTAGCTTGGTGAAGATTTGCAAGAGTCGCGACTTGAATGTGCTTGTGTTGGATGCCCTCGTGGTCCCCCTGCGCTCGAACGCGTTCGACGTGGCGCTGTCCATCGCGGTGCTGCATCACTTGAGCACGCTGGCCCATCGCCTCCAAGCGGTCAAGGAGGTCCTTCGCGTGCTTCGCGTGGGCGGCCAAGGCCTCATATACGCGTGGGCGCAAGAGCAAACCCAGGTAATTATACCTACTCTTCCAGATGCACCTTGAATTCAAGCATGATGATGATGGTTGTGATAGGATTCACGCCGCGCGTTCGATTCACACAAGCAAGACTGCATGGTGCCGTGGAACTTGGACAAGCGCTTCGCCAAGGTCGACGCTGACTCTGGGGAACCCGTGGTTGTGCAGCGATACTGCCACATGTTCAAAGAGGTCGGACCAACTGTAGATGCAATATCTCATGCTGGAATGATTCTGTTTGTGTATGTTAGGGAGAACTGGATTCGCTGGTGCGCATGTCCGGCAATGCTGTGGTGAACGAGTCGTACTACGACCAGGACAATTGGGCCATTCGGTTCACCAAAACTAGCGACATTTGAACAAATAATGCAGCCAAAATGCGTAGTAGTACTATTAATAGTACTATTAATAGTATTGTGAATTCGCTATTATATAAACATCCAAAATTCGACTCGTATTGAATCACGCTGGAGTTCTGATTGGTTGAATATACATGTCCTTTCTGCAAGAGCAAATCAAATCCACTAAAAAAATGGATTAGCCAATCGTTGTTCGACGGGTCTGGAAATTCGTATCGAATCCACAATAAATCGTAGGAATTTATTGATTGGCTTGGATTTAATTACTTCCAAAATACCATTGGTTAGTTCGATCAATCAAGCATTTTTATCCGGTGTTTTCCGGATAATGGGTTTCGAAGATCGGATATGCTTTTTGAGTTGTTCGAATTGAGTGCGCCGCGGCGATACACGATGGCGGCGGCGGCGACGGCAGTGGCAGGTACGCACGGACATGCAAGTACGATATGGTGGTAACCATAACATGGTAGTTTGGCAGCACCCATTCGTGGATGTTTTCAAGCACGTGGCAACTGTGCGTATGGAGACCATGAGCCGTGGCGACGTGGAGCAGCTCATGGACAAACACATTCGAAAGAACGTGTATCGGTTGCGGGGCAAGATCGCCGCGTCCAACTACTTGCGCATCCCAAAGGACATCCACGCACTTCCTAACATGCATCTCACAGGCCGGTTTGTGTACATGGAGCTCCGACGGATGCAGTCGTCCGAGTCCGTCACGTTTCACTTTGAAGTTACGACGCGGAAAAAGACCGTGCTGCGCTTCACGTTTAGCACCATGTACTCGAACGTCCGAAGCATGGGGATCAACTTGCGGTTGCCTCTCACGTACGTACACTACAGCTACAGCATCATGCATGATGACGGATTCATAGGCTCACGGAGAAGTGGACGGTGTTGGCACTGGACATGTTTCAACTGTTGGACTTGCATACGTCTGCGTCCTACCACCGCGAAGGGTACGAAGCTCTGAAGGCCATGCTGCTGTGCTCGTCGATGTATGTGCGGGGTGTGTTCACGTCGGACATTCTGTACCTTCCCGAGGCAAGCACTCCGTCTTTCCAACGTTGTCGTACTCATCTATCGTTATAGACGCTGCCCAAAGCAATGCAGTTCCCGCTAGTAAAAGCAATGGACGATGCTACGAATGCATGGGACGCGTCGTACGATTGGCGATGGATGCCCCACCTTCCCACCGACTCGTCGACGTCGTCTGGCCTGGCCCTCGCCCCCCCCACTCAACTCCACGACGTCACAACGTTGCACTCTCCGTCGTCAACATGTGACTCCCCAGTACGAATAACCCATAGCTGTCCACCAACATACCATTGTTTCCCCACGTCCTTGATCATGATGTCGACTCTTCTCCATCGTATAAACTCACGTAGACCAAGTCCGAGCCGTCCCCCAACGCTCCCAGCAAGTCGCCGCCGTCGTCGCATGCATTCAACCCCACGACGCCCGACGACTGCGAGACCCAAATGGACGCTTCTCGTGTTAAAGTGCTCGACAAAGTAAGAAAGTGTCCTCTGTTTAAATCTCTCATCCCATTACCCTGGTAGGCCGACATGATCCTCAAGACAGCAGGCATCCATCGCACGTCGCCTCCCAAGTCGTATATCAAGGCCAAGTACGAGCCCACAGGCGTGTACACCCCGCAAAAGTACGGCCAGCACGCCGGCTTTCACGCTGCAAACCCTGTTGCATTTCCATCCCCTGCGCTGTCGTTGCGTCGGGTGATTGGGTACTCGGTGGAGCGCCGCCGAGCGCTGGCATGGGCGTCGACATCGTCCACGTTCTTTTACGCGTGCGAGTCGACGGTGATTGTCGGTCGGCGCCCCCCCCCGTCTGGTCAAAGCGAAACGACCTCGTCCCCTTTCGTTGATCAAGAGTTCCTCCTTGGGCACACCGACGACGTCACAGCACTCGCGTACTCGTCGGCCGCGGGCTTGCTGGCGTCGGCTCAGGGCGGCGTGTCCCCCAGCATTCGTTTCTGGCTCCTCTCCCCAAAGGGGCACTGCATCGCGTCGGTGAAAGCGCACGCCCACGGCGTGGACACCATCGCATTCTGCCCCCACGGCACACAACTGTGCGGCGTCGGCCACGACAGCAAGCGCCGGACGCAAATCCTCGTGTGGGACGTCACGACGCCGTCGCAGCCCGTGTGCGTGGCCAAACAGTTGACCGATTACGCGATCGCCAACATCAAGTTCTCGCCGCACGAGCCGGACCGCCTCGTGTCCTGCGGCCGCGAAAGCATCCGGTTCTGGCGCGTCAAGAACGGCCACCTCCCCGGGTGTGCCGTCGTATTACACGAGTACGCGCGCGACACGCTCTTTACAGACCTGGATTTTGACCCAGTCGTGATGGGCAACCAGCCGAGCCGGCCGCTGTACGTGGCGTCCTCCCACGGCACGGTCCTCGTCGTCGACTACGACTCGATGGCGCTCACGTGCGTGTACAAGCTGCACGACGGCCCCATCCACTGCCTCCGTGTGAACGAAGGGTTCTGCGTGACCGGGGCCGCCGACGGGTACCTCCGGGTGTGGCCCCTCGACTTTTCCGACTTTTACCTCGAGGCGTCGCACGAAGCGCCGGTCGCGTCGGTCGATCTGTCGGTCGACGGGCTGCACGCGCTCATCGGGTGTGTGAACGGCACCATTGGTGTGCTTGAGATCAGCACTCAGCAGTACACGACCGTCGTGCGCGCACACACGGGCGCCATCAGGGCGCTGGCACTGTCGCCGCGCTCCGACTCGTTTGTAACGACGTCGACAGACGGCACGATCCGCGTGTGGGATGTGACCACGGGCACGCAAACGTACGAGTTTCAAGACGACGACAGGGCCGCGACTGCCATCGCGTACCACCCCCGAAGGGACGTGGTGGCGGTCGGGTTTGCGTCTGGCACGCTCCGGCTCTTTGACATTCCGACCATGCAAATCCACGAAACGTACCAGCAGCACCGCGGCGCCGTGGCGAGCGTCGTGTACGGCCGGTCCGCGTGCTACTCGAGCGGCGGGGACGACCGCCAGTTGTGCTGCTACCAAGCGCACGCCACTACCGTCCACATGGTCAACTGCGCGTTTCCAGATGGCCAAGGACATTTGGCACTGGACACCACGCTCAAACTAGTCGCCGTGGTGGGCAAAGACGCCCTGGCGATTGAACTCCGAGACATGTACACGCTGCGCATCGTGCGGTCCGTTCGCGGCAAACATGCCCCGCCGCTGACACTCCTCGGGTTTGTCCAGTCCCAAGTGGTGGCGCTCGAAGCCCCGTCCCAACGCGTCGTGTTCTTCTGTGCGACGTCGGGCGCGACGCTGCATACGTTTCCGGCGCTCTGCAGTGGCGGGCCCATGGGCGACGTCGCGTTCACTTCGTCGGGACGGTACGCCTTCACCGGACGGGTCGACCAGTCCCAACTCCACGTGGTGATGCTGGAAACGTCCACGCAATTGCGCGCCGTCCAGTTGTTTGCGGGTCAGGCGTCCGGCGTCACCCACATCCAGCTGTGTGCTGACGGTCGAACTATCGTGAGCTACGGCGCAGGCTCGGCGGTGTACGTGTGGTCGTTTCACGGACCCTCACCGGACGATGGAGAGATGCAGGACAAGGATGGCTCGCCAGGTAACAATCCCCACGACGGAGTTGACGACGACGACGAAGCGTTGTATGACCTGCCCCAGCCAGTGACACGCGAGAATAACGACACCTGCGACGACGACGACGAGATGCCCAATGTCCGCGGACTCCTTCCCACGCCCATCCAGCCACCGACAAAAGAACGAGAAGTCGTGCACCCGGTGCAAGCCCCCATGACGTGCTCGCTCCTCCATACGTTGGGATGGAACATGATGGAGGCTCGGGGGTCGTCCCCCGTGGTTGTGTGGTCGTCCGCGACTGGCCATGTCGTTGCCGCCGCTGGTGCGACGCTGCTGGTCGAGTCCCCCAACGACCCGCGCCAGAAGACTGTGCGACACCACCGTACGGACGTGTTGGGGCTGAGTGTGTCGCCCGACGAAGGCATGATGGCGAGTTATGACGTGGAATGTATCGGGGTCTGGAACTTTGACAGGTGGGAAGACGTACACGTGTCTTTGCTTTGGCCCAAGGATACCGTCGCTGGTCTAGTTGTATGGAGCACGGACGGGTCGCATCTGGTCGGAGTGGCCACGTCAGCTCATAACCAGAGTACGCTGCTGTTGTGGAACGTCCAGACAAAGCAACTAGTAGCCCAATCACCCGCCACCATCCCCCGGACAGCCATCCGCCAAGCCGTGTGGGTTCTACACGACAGCGACGACATGCACGACAACAACGTCCTCTTTTGCACCAACGCGCCGTTCCAAGCTTGGGCCGTCGACGACTCCAAGATGCTCGTTCCCGTGGACCTTTTGCCCGACTCGTCTGTGACACTGTTGCAGACGTCGCCGAGGTTACCCCATTGCGTCCTCGTGTATTCCGCGATGGACCACACTGTGTCCTTCTACGACCTGCGCAGCCACACGATCACGGGCCCCGTCTCGACGTTGCACCGACGCCATTCGGTGCGGCACTTGCATTGGGTGCATCCATTTCTGATCATCGCCACCGACACCGCTCCGTGTGTGTGGGTGTACGAGCTCCATCTTGACACGCTCACCGTGTCGCAGCACACGTCGACGACGCCCGACGACTTGGAAATCCACACGGTGAGGCTGGACTGTCCAATCGCAAGCATGTCATGGAACGATCGCGGCCAAGGCATCGTCGTGACCGCGAGCGGGGCGCTGTGGTATGTGGAGGCGGACGCACACAGCAAGCAGCTGCTCCGACGAGCCCACGACGGTCCCATCGAGTGTGTCGCCGCCACAGCCACCCACGTCATAACAGTCTCCCGAGGTCGCATGATTCGGCTGTGGCTCACTGCGACGCTCGACCAAGTGGCAGCAACCGAGGTGACGTGCGCCGGAGCGATTTCTGTGGACGTGAACGCCTCCGGATGCGTGGTGGGGTTCCAAGACGGGTCGTTTCGCGTGTTTGATTTGACCCTGACACTGGTGTACTCGTCCTCCGCTAAGTCAATCGATAGACTTGACCAAGTTGCACGACCTATCTCCCCACCAACAACCAGCCCTCATCGAAAGCCATCGACCCCCTCCACCGCCCCCGCCGTCCGACCTCCCCTCGACCACGTCCACTTCCTCGGCGACTCGGCAAGTGTCCTCCTTGCATCCACGAGTGGCCTCTGCCTTCTGTTCAACATCCCCACCAAACACATGCAACGCATCGCGCTTCCCTTCGGGATGCCCCATCATGACTCTGCCCCTCCAAATGTGCTCGCGTCCCAGACCAAGATCGACGGGTCCCTATTGGCTGTACGCAGCGGCGGCTCATCCACGTGGCTCGTGGTGTGGCAATCCAGCGCCAGTGAAAAATGCTACGTCCACGTGTTTGCCAACGGCACGACCACCCAAGACGCATGGGAGCTCGTCGGGACGAAGCGGGAACACGCCGCGAGCGCTCTGTTCGAGTCGCCGTCGGTTTCATCGGTGGTTGTGTACGTGTCACATGGAGCGGTGGAAGGGCGGTGCTATGTGCAGCGCCAAGTGTTGTGGCGGGTCAACGTCCATGCAGTGCCGACGTCGATGGAGCGATATGGGGCTCGAGCGCTTCTTTGCCGCAGCAGGGATACGTCAAGAACGTTGGGTGAACGAGGAGCTGTCCTCCCGTTGTTCTACTTGCTCGATGTTGCCAGCAGCACCATCCACATGCCTACGCCGGAGGATGTTGAGGCCACCTCGATCAATGAGGCCACGGCCTTGGTCGTGTCGGGGTACAAGGTGGTGTCGTGCCGCGCAAATCGGTTGTCGACCATTGAATTGGGTGTCAGTTAGAATGCAGTACAAGTAGTTAGTAGCAGCGTTATGATACACATTTGTAAACTAGAACACAACCCTTTTTGGTTTGCAATGTGAAGTAGATGTAGTGGATGAATCTATTGGGGGCTGTGCCACGTGTGAGTGCGAGCTGTCTATTCGGTCACTTCGCCACAGTCTTCAATCACCACGGGCACGCTAGTGATACAAACATGTTAGGAAGGGGGTCGACGGGTATTCGAGGCGTACCGCGTGGCGCCGGAGCTGCTGCCTTGGTCTTCCAAGATGTCAAGCACTTCCAATCCGTCCACGACCTAGACATGTAAACACCATTTGAATGACGAGGTCGTCGCTTGGCAATGAATTGGTTTTTGGTTTGGGGATGTTACCTTGCCAAACACCACATGGGCCTTGTCCAACCAAGGGCAGTCCACGGTCGTCAAGAAGAACTACGTCGACAAGGTGAGCATCTATGAACTAGTCAAGACAGAACGCGCGTACTTGGGAGCCGTTGGTGTTGGGGCCAGCGTTGGCCATAGACAACACACCGCGACCTTGATGCTTCAACACAAATGCTTCGTCCTTGAACTTTTCACCGTAGATGCTTTCGCCCCCCGTGCCGTTTCCGGCCGTGAAGTCCCCGCCTTGGGCCATGAAGTTGGGAATAATGCGGTGGAACTTGGAGCCCTTGTAGTGCAACGGCTTGCCGGACTTGCCAATGCCGGCTTCCCCAGTGCACAATTGGCGAAAGTTTTCCGCAGTCTTGGGCACCTTGTCAGCGCGGAGCTCAATAACCAAGCGACCGGACGCCTTGCCACCCACGCTGATGTCGAAGAAGACTTTGGGGTTGGCAGCCGTGCTGAAGCTGCGGAACAAACGGGCGGAGGATTGCATGTTTGAAGTCAATGCTGAATGGTGGCAATTGTCGAATTCTACATGTCCGGATATTATGCAAATATCCGGCTTTGCCGCAAAGTGCAGGTTCAACCGGATACTAATCGGATGTTCTGTTCTGCCCAATCAGCAGCTAAGCAGCCGAAATGCATGTGACACAACCACGATGGAAAACTTAATGTCGACTGAAAAAGAGGGCTAAAGGTTGTAATAAACCAAAAGTACCAACTACGGGCGCCATTTTCTACTCCTAGTACAGTATAATACAGTAGTGTGTAGAGATCAGTAGTATCGATGGGGGTGTACAGTACTACCTGGAAGACCGAGCACACGCTTCACCACAAAAGCTGGAGGAGTGGTGGCAAGTGCCTGCGACCACCAGGACCACGTAAAATATATGTTGCGTTTGGAGGTGGGTGAATTCAATATGTTCGTCGGTACGTCAGCTCGTAGCTGTCAAACTGAGTTACCCCCACCGTCTGTACGAGAGGATAATACCACTTGGTCACTTGCCATTCGTTCGAGGACGAATGTCTTGCGGCCTTGGTCCAGCCTCAGGTGTCACTACAACGGTACGAATCAGATCACCGTTAGAATAATGCCAAATACTACTACCCTTGTCTGGTTTGTATGTTTCGGGCATGCGTCGTGAGGTCGAAAGGTTCTCGCCGACTAGGACCTTCTTGACCCAGAGCGTGTCCAGCCGCAGCCAAAAGAGGCTCCGCAGCGACAGGTCGCCCGTGTACAGCGGCACCAGTCGCGGCAGGAGAAACAACTTGCGAGTCTCGGGGTCGAGCACCACCGCACAGCAATAGATCTTGACCAGGGTGGCGCCGGCCACGACATTGAGGAAAATCCTTGGCAGGTCGTCGATGCAGACCAGGAATTGGCTGTCCAGAAGCACCCACCCCGCCCGCCACAGGTTGGATTTGTCCACTTGAAACGCAGTTGCTTCGAACTGAAAGGGCATGGGGCGGACGCTCACCAGTCCTCGCATGGGCGACGCGGACACAAAGTGGTCGAGAAACCCAAGGGGGACCGTGGCGATGGTGTGCAATTGGTCGGCCGGGACAGTCGCGACCGCAGAAATGTCTGCATCCACCACGGCCCGGGGGAGAGTCACAACAAGCAGCACACACTTGTACGCCAAGAGGAGGCCCACCATCCCAAGACAAGGCGCGAAGAACCAAATGAACTCGGTGGCGAATAGCCAACTGGGGGGGTCGTCCCCTGTCAAGCGATACCGCGTCCACAGGTTCATACCTGTGGGCGAAAAATTAACCAAGTTGCGAATGTACATGTCGTTGATGACTGCTCGGACGGCGTGTTCCATGCTCGTCGAGTCAAGCGCCGCGACCAACACTTGGCTGTACTCGTAGCAGACAAGGTACACGACGATCGGTACAATGGGGGCCATGGGCACGTTCAAGAGCGACGCCACGACTTCAGTCCACGTCAGAAACAGCACGAGAAAGTCGGACCGGACGCCGTCGCCCAGGGAAAACATTGGCGTCAGCTTGTATCGCGCGAACGCCTTCGTAAACATCCATTCGTGCAAGGACCAGAAGTGATTGATGGCAAACGTGACCAGGATGAGCACAGCGCGAGCTACCACGAGGTGGCGGACGCGGCCGGCAAACACGTCCGGCAGCCACCACCGGTCGCCGAGAGGACGACCCAACCACGTGACAAACGCCACGTTTACCGCGACGGCGAGACGGAACCACGTGCGAACGCACACGAAGGCGATGACGAGACCTTGGACCCACGCCCACGAGTCCTTGCTGTGACCTAATGACGAGAAAAATTCCTCGGCAAAGTCGCGCACTGGATCACCCGACATGCCGAGCACATACCGCACAAAGCTACCCTGGTCGTCTTGGTTGCCTCGATAGTACCCTAAATATATCAACAAATGGATGGTTGTGAGTCATCATACTGGGAGAGATCGAGCAAACGACAGCCTTGAACCCATCGTTCGGTCGTATTTGTGGACCCACCGGAATACCCATTGATCGCGAGTGACTCGTTGGTCGACTTGAGTCGCCACTGATATTGGTTGGTTGGGAGGACGCCGTCCGCAATCGTGTCGTGGAACGGAGTGTCGTGTTCGTATGGAAAGTCTATCGCCACGAGCGTGTGGTACTTGGACGTACCGGCGTATACGACACCGTACTTGCCGTTCGACCCAAGGGCAAACTGACTCAAGTTTGCCGTTGACACGATCACGGCCCCCACCTGCACTTCCATGTTGAATCTGGACCGCCACGCGTTCATCGTCACCAGCGCGAACGACATCATTTGGGTCATGTGGATGTCCACCACGTACGCCTTGAACGTGGACGTGTCCTGGAACCGTCGGCCGTCGTAGCCGCAGTCGATCCACACTACGTGGGTCAACGGAGTTGCGACGAGATTGATGGACGACGAGCCCATTCCATCGAGGATGCGTTGCAGCAGGGGCAGCATGTACCCCATCTGTGTAGATGATGTCGCTGTCTAGATACCCGCCGTGGCTCGTGCAGTTAGTGTATGCAATGGCGTACTCCAACTGGTCGGACGAGCTCGGCTCGATGTACAAGATGCGGTGGTTGGCGGCGGCGGCGGCGGCTACCTCTTGGAGTTGTCGCGAGCGGTTGCTGATGTGCATCTTGAGATACCGAGGCACCGTGGGGGCATTGTATTGGTTTGTCCCAATTTTGGAGTTGTGGGCTCCAAGCAGGGTCTTGACGACCGCAAGTCCCCCCGCAATGTCAACCAACGTGATGACCAACACACTGGCCACAGAGCTCAAGATCAGCAGCGTTCGACCTGTCGGGGACATGGCAACTTTATATTTCTGGTTTCGTCGGCTGCTTCACGGTAACTGCTATAGGTTTGTCAACATGTAACCGAACAGTCGTTGATCGACGCCGGAGTAGTACTGTGGCACATACAGTAGCAAAGAACATATACTGTAACGTGCGAGCAGCCAGGCGTTATTCAATATATAATGTTAGTTGGTAGTATAGCTAGTTGCCGAAACAACAACGATCGATCAAGCCAACACCTGCACTTGGACATATTCTGGCAACTGATGCACGAGATTGGGCGCTACAATGCTAACGCTGTTGTCGCTCTCTCGAACCTTCAGCGTAAACACAGGAAACGACAAGCGGCCCACGTGCAGTGGTCGCAGCTTGAACGCAGCCTTTGACGACGATGTCACAGTTTGGACAGATGGACCGGCACAGACCCAGCAGCGCTGACTTGTTTCATCCAACCCAATCCACAACTGGCTCGAATGCGATGGCGGGGCCACCACGTCTACTGAAAATGTCGTCCAACGTGACCGAGTACTCGCTGTGGAGAGGTCAGCACACGTCGTGGTCAGCTGAAACGGGCGCGGCAACACCAAGTCGGCTAGCCGGAGGTTGACATCGATAGGCACCACCACGACCATCTCGAGCGGTGGGAAGGGGTTGTCCAACGTTCCAACGGTTGAGTCGTCGGCCGTCCAAACCGACTTGCAGTGCAACCGCATGTACACGGCAGTATCTGACGGCAGCTCGTCTGTGACGTCCACTACAAAGGCCGCGTGACACCGTCCTGACGGATTCAAGGTCATCACCGGCAGAGATGTATTCGGATTAGCCATAATCTACACAGCAAACATGGGAACCATATCGTGTCGGGGACGGATGACAGGGCGTACGTACGAGGAGGCCGGGGTACCGAGGCGTGTCACTGCTGAGCAGGTTCACAAGGTGCCCCTCGTTGTCATGTGCATCACCACCATGAAGATGGTCGAGAGCCCACCATTCGTATTGCGCTGGGTCGATTTCGACGCCGACTTTGTCGTTGGCTTGTATCTCGACGTCAACACAGTGTACCGTGTCGCGGATACATCGCGTGGTCGTGGTGGTAGTCACCAACGGTGTCACAGATATATGCGTTTCTGCATGCCGCGATGTTCTTTTGTGCGCGATACCATCTTTGGTCGTGATCGACGCGTGCACTGCCACGTCCAGTACCACGTGGCTACACTCTTCTTTGTTGCTTGTCGACACCAATGTGAACTCAAACGCAGTATCCACTTGACACGGGGATGGCAACGGCACCACCACACTACCACCACCACCACTGTCATTTGGTCGGGCGTAAGTAGAGGAGGCAACGGAAATCTCCACATGCGCATCACCCTGGATCGTCACTGCTAACGTCCCGCCTTGAATGATATCGTCATGCGGACGAATCACGACTGTGCATTGTGTGGACGTCAGCGGCGACAGAATGGGTGGACACCGCACGTCCAGCGCCATCGTACTCGAATAGGACGGACGGAGCGTAAACGTAACCGGGTCCTCCAACGGCACCACAAGCACGACGTCGTCCGCCAACCGGACCGCTACCTGTCGACACGTGTATCGACCATGGGGAACGTTCTCGCGCATGGCGTCGGCCGTCGCCCCCCTTTGGGCTGGCAAAGCGATCTTCCCGAACGTGACTGCAATGTCATTGTCGGCTGTCTTGCTAGGATGGGGTGCTTGGCCATCGTGGGGTCTCATGTCCCCTTCAGCCAAGTACGACGTAAAGCCATCTATGGTGTCCATCATATCGCTCGTGGATGACCGCAGGACCCCCGCCGGACGGTGCTGACCCATCAAAGCAGGCGCGTCCAGCGACAAGCAGTCGACGACGTCCTCCTCGTCCTCGAATCCCTCGTACTCACAGGTTACCACGACGTCGTCCACACAAAAGCCAACTCGCAGCGCATTCTTCAGCGATACTTGAAGCCGCACCGTAGTCGATGTGGCCTACACATCAAACAGTGTCGCACACGTTCCATCCAAGTAGCATTTTAGCTTCTAGACCCACCTCGAGCACCGCCACCGACGGATCAAACACTGTCGACCATTCGCCATTCGTCCACCTATCCGGATCGTTCGACGGTGCTGCCAGCGCCTGCAGAAACAGCGCCCGCACCGTCGACGATGCGTAGTCGACAGCGGCGTCCAGCTTGAGCCAGCGAAGGGCTACGTCCACCACGTCACACACATTGCCTCGCTGCAGTTCCGCCTTCATGAAGCGCACCACCGTGTCGTGCATGAGATCCCACCACTGGTCTCTTTCATACTGGTTTAGCTGTACCAAGAGCGGCGAAGGCTGCTCGTGGTCGTCGGCACACTTCCACGATGCATGTCGTTGAGCGGCCAAAAACGAAGCCAAGCGGACGCGGCCGGCGCGGCCATACTGAACGGCTGCCCGCTGTGTGATTTCGTCCAGGCCATGGGGAGACCGCAGCGGATACCACTCCGACGAACCACACAAGTCGAGGGATTTGGCGTGGCGTCGGGCGAGGTAGAGCAGGTCACCCAAGGCGGTGGCCAGCGCCGGCGAGGACGGAAGCCGGCTGCACTCATGCTCGCAGGCGACGCACAGGGCTAACGCCGCCCCGACCGCCCACTGGGACGCCATTGCTGGCGAGATGCGAAGGGTATAAAGCAAGGCCACCACCTGCGGAATGAGCACCAGGCCACGCTGGCACACGTCCACGTAGGCATTTTCCATGAGCAGCAAGATGGCTACCTGACGGCAGAACAAGTACAGACGCACGTGCAGTACAGACGCCGCGTTAACAGCAATGTTCATGCGCACGGACGTCATGTCAATCTCAAACTATGGCGACGAAGAATGAGTAGTAATAGTAGTAGTAGTAGTACTACGGCGTACCGGCGTCGACGTGAAAATGGCGTCGGTCGGGTTGAAACGGACGTGGGTGGAGGCCTCGTGGTCCATGCTCGCATAAATTGCTTCCAGTTCGTCATACTATCAATCCGTTAGTGGAGTCGTACGTTAGTTAGTCGAATCGTATGTGCACCCCAGATTGTACACTTAACAATCTCAATGGACGAGGTCGTACATGTCTGAGGGCGTCGTCGTACAGCGTGGCTTGGATGTATAGCAACGCCAAGCTTTCCTTGACTTGAAGGAACGAGCTGAAGTCCCATCCAGAAAGTGCTCGCTTCAAAATACACATGAGAAAAGCTCAACACTTGAGCAAACAGGTTACTTTTCCGTCCAACACGCGCAGTTGGTCTTCGTATTCGGCGCACCGCGCGTCAAATGCGTCCATGATGCACGCCTTGAGCTTGATGAGCACCTCGGACCACTGGCTTTCGTGCTGCTGCTGCTGACCGGGCACGCCGCTGCTGCCGTCGAGCACGTCAATCTTGCAAAACCGATCGAGTTTACTCTTTTGATTGTCGGCAAAGTCACCCTTCATGCGGTCAAAAATCTTGCGGTACACTTTGGACGTGTCCCGGAAGGTTTGGGTCAAGGCGCTCAGACCCAGGCCTCGCGCCACGGACGTTGATGACGGCATCTGCGTACCCAATGGAACGTACAGCACGAGCCACTCGTGTCCGTGCAGCGTCATGCGGTCCACCCACGCGGACAGTGACGGCTTGACCTTGGCCTTGTACGTGTCCATGTCCTCGCACTTGACCACAAACATGTGGACGAGACCCGTCGTGTCGACATGCCCTCCAGAAGACGATGACGCCAATTGCTGGAAGTTTACGTGCAGGCGATCGATGGTTTTGTTCGACTGCAAGTGGTTCTTCCACACAATGCCACGTAATGGAAGCCGCTGGCTCAACGATGGAGACAGGAATTGCCACACCCCGCCGTGATCCTCAAAGTTCACGCACACACCTATGTTGGATTGAAATCCCCAAAGGTAACGACATCGCGCGAAGCACAGGACAAGGATGGTACCTACCAATGGCCCTGTCAGCAGATGGAGGCCCATCGTGCCCTTCGTCGGTCGTCGGTGGGCTGTATCCATAGTTCTTGAGCTGGGGAAGCAGAGGAATGCTCGCGTAGAAGGACGATGTCTCGCTCATAACAACAGCATCAACCTCCATTTGGAAAGTTGCCAATCTTTGCATTAGACTTTCCGGATAATGGTAGTATAATTCCGGATAAGTACACCAACTGTTCAAATTCGCACTTGCTGCCGCATTACAGTAACGAGATGGAGGGAACAAGGTACTGACGGCAGTTGGTCGACTGACGAACCCCTCATGCAAGAAGTGGTAGATCGGTTTCATCGCCACTAGAGTCGGATCGTCTTCGAGAGGCTGCAAAGAACGTTGACACGGACGAGCTAGAGTCACTTCGCCGCAAGATCATCGAGGTAGGGCAACTCTACAACAAGTCAACTGTCGTCAACACGTGCAACCATGCGTAGCTCGAGCGAGAGTTCTTGCTAGCCCAAGTCCAGCAACAAGTCATCAGTGACTTGGAGGCCACGTCATCTCTCGCGAGTTTAACGGCGCACCTGGCCAACATGAACGTGGCCGAGTCACGCGCAGTCATGCTGACCCGAAAGAAGCAGCTGTGGGCCACATGTCACGAGCGCGATTTGGCAGTGCGCCAGATCCAAGACACACTCGACCAGATCGACGTCACGCGGCAAGCGCTGCAGCACGCCGAAGCGGACGCGAACGCCGTGGCCGTGGCCAACGCCGCCGCCCGCAACGAGTGGAAGGCGCTCCAAAAGCGCAACACGCAAAAGAAAACCGTGCTGGAAATGGCGTTCAACGTGCAAATCACCAACGAGCAGTCGTGCACTGACCTTCTGGAGCGGCAGGCGGTGGCCATGCAGGAAGACCACGAGCGAGAGCACGCCCTGGACGACCAAATTCTTGACTTGACGGCCCAAGTCAAGCAATCGTACGAAGTTCTAGAGCAACTTCGCCAGGATGTACGTTGGTTTGAGATCCAACCAACTACTGAGGGGGACTTGTTCCTAGTGCAATGCTTGCATCCTTCGTGAAAGGGTTAAGGCCATGATTCATGTGACGATGGTAGGCGACGCGGCAAGCAGAGGACGTCCACATCCTCGAACAGACCAAGAAGTATGCCCACTTGAACGAGATCATGCAATGGTATGTACAACGTGAAGTGCCCCGTTGTGTCGTTCATAGCTCGGGTCATCTAATGGGCAATGAGCAGGTATATCGAAATGCAGGCGTTGGTCACCCATCTCACGGGTCTGCGGGTGCTTCGCGTGGAAGCATCGCATTTCGATGTCCAAGTGGGCGACTTTGAGCTGCGGATGGTTATGGATCCTGACTCGATCAAGCTACAGCAAGTGCAGGTTCGGTCGTCCAAGCCCAACAAAGTCTTTTGACGAAATGCGATGGTGCCTGCTTGGTGTTGTGTTAGTTGACCCCCCCAACGCTGGACATTGCCGACTTGGTTGAAATCGCCGTGGACGAGAACGACGTGCCGTTTTTACTGCGGGAAACCCAGGCGCGAGTAGTCAACATGGCGCAGCTGCAAGCGCATTTGGATTTCCTTGCGACAGAGTACGTAAACCTTATAGAACGAAAACGTCTAGTGGAAGGGAAAGTGTTGGGAATAGGTGCAGTAGCTACTGTATTTGTCGTACCTGTGCATGCTATTTGATTATCTGGATATTTGAATATTTCACATGTTTCATTGATTTCAGATTTCATTACGTACTTATATTCAAGAGTAGTTTTATGCACATCAACAACAAATACATTGATAGAAAATGGGATGGCTGACGGATCGAGTAGGGGCGTCACGTGCACTCGCAACGGCATGAATGTGTCGTTGAAATTTGGCGCACCAGATGAAGAAATGTATGTGGAGGTGGAAGTGAGCACTGAATATGCGCTGGTTGGTAGATATATAATATATATATATATAATGATGTTAATTTTTGATGCATGATGGAAACATGTAGGACCACGAGTGGCTCCAAGTGCTCGCAGTTCGACCAGCGAACGAACGATTGATGGTATGTGCTCGTCGTTTGTTTTCGTATGCGAGTTGTGTGGGATTCGCCATCATATATATATACTTCGAAGTATATATATTTATATTTTACAACCTTTTGCACTATCGTAGGTGGCGCTCAACACGACAGTGCAATGCCGCAACCTCGTGGATTTGATTCGAGAAATTGTCCACCAATTATTGCAATAAGCGATCATAAACCACGTCTCATATACAACAATCCCACTCTTGCGGTTTTGTCATAGCAACTTCATCGCCCCGTCCAAATCATCGCAGGGTCGATAATACATGCTTCGTCATCCAACTACAGCGATGTCAACGCCACCGAATCACATATCCAACCAGCAAACATCATCGCACACACACACCTTTGTCCGGCTTGGGTTTGCAGAAACGGCACCACCATCGATTGATACAGCGACGCTACGAGAATGCGCTCACAAGGACCCAGTACCGCCGCCAGATCCGCCGGCCACTGCGCGCAGGACAGCGCCGCCACCACCTTGCGGTACATGGTCGACGGAATGCAATGCACAGTCGGGAACGTCTTGACGATGCGATGGGCTGTGCTTGTGGCGACCTTGGACGGTCTCGCCACCGACTTCAACGTTTGCATGTCGCGCCACAGTCGAAGGGACTTCGTCTGCTGATTGAGCCTGCAGAACGTCGACACGACGTCCGTCATGGCCGAGTCGCGCAGCAAGGCGGTGCACATGTCCAGGCTTTTCCTACGTAGCCAGGTGGATATGGGACTTGAACTGTAGCCATCCGAGCAGTGATGACGTGGCTATTAAACCTATCTTGTTCAGAGGGATGCAGTGAAAAGTCTTCTGCCGACATGGCGCATTCCTCTCGACGCTGTTTGAGATGGTCCAGTGCTACTTTGGAGAGAGATAGAAATGGATGCCGTCGGGGGAGAGATCTCCGTGCGATGTCGCAGACGGTTGTCGCCATGACGACTGCTTCGTTCATAAACTGTGCCTTGTCCTACAGGGAATGACAATGTGCAATCAACGACACTTCTGCAATTGTTGGTGAATCTGGGTACCATGACGCTGTAGAACTCGACTAGCAACGCCTGGATGTCTTGGTGGTCGACAGCAACTTCATTCAACCGTGCCGAAAACGCCTGCTTGTAACACTCCACCGCAGCCACAATGTTGCCTTCTGCCTGCGCCATCGAATATATTTGAACTCACAAACATGAAGATGCCTAACTGCTTTGTGTAGTTAGCGACTTACCACATGTAATTGGGCTAGGGCTCGACGTGATTGCCATGTCACCCCCAAAGCCTCCATGTCTCGTAGTAGGGTCGTAGCAGCGTCAAATTTGCCCAAGTCACGATGCACTGCCGCCAGTTGCAAAGCCGCTGCATGATCATCTATACAGTGTCAATATTATCAATCATTTGATACAAATACTCGCTTACCTGATGCGTTTTGGATGGAAGCAGCCGCGTGGGCTTCGATTGTGGCAACATGCCGCTGGACTTGGAGGTCATGCTTTTGCTTTCGAATCGCATGGAGTTCTTGATTGGTTGTTCTGTCTGGCTGGCATGTCAAAAGAAGATGCAGGGGATGCCACCCATCAAATTTTGGATCAGCAACCACAACAGCAGCAGCAACAGCAGCTTCTGGAGCCAAAACATGGTACTCGTGGTGCCGTCGTCGCGCGTCTAGGTGAAACCGCCAGTAGCATTGGTCGCAAAAGCTGGTTTCACACGAATGACAGTGTTTCGACGAATGACGATCTTGACATTGCGCACAAATGGGGCGTGGGTGCACAGCGGGTAGGTTGACTTGAACGCGGGGTTGCAACGAAGACAGTTTCGAAGGCGCCTTCAACGGGGCACCAGGTTGGGGCAAAGGGGCGAGTTGCCACCACGGCAGCAACATGTTGTTCTTGGCCTTGTACTGGACCAAGTACTGCAACATGTCATGGTGGCCACCGTCGTGCATCCTCATGAACGCATCTCGACCTTTTAGGTCTCTGTAGTTTAAATCCCCTCCCTGACTCACGACGTGGAGCACAACATCAAGGTGGCCATGGCTTGCCGCTTCCAAGAGACCGGTCGTGCCGTGGCGGTTGGGCTGGGACCACAAGCAGAGCTGCATGAGCACTTGCACTGTGGCGAGGTCGCCTTTCGCACATGCGACGAGAAAGGCCATGTGCCCGTCGGGGGATTCATGGTTGGGGCTTGCAAGCCCGTCGCCTCGAACGATTTCCAGCACTCCATCGATAGAGGTGGAGGCGAGGCTGCGGTCTAATGCTAGGTGGATGGCGTCCAGCGCAGAGCTTTCCATGCGCTCTTCATATGTTGGGGGCGTGGACGGATCCAAGTTGAACTCGTTGCCCCTTGCAACAAGCCGTTCCATGCGAACATGGCCAAACGCACGAGCATACTCAGCGGCTGAGCGGTCGGCTTTGCACTGTAACCATGGTTTTGTCAAAACATTACGGACATTTGAAAAGTGTACTGAATAGCGACGTACGTGGACGAACGGGTTGACATTGTGCCGCAGCAACAAACGGGCGACGGCGAGGTGATTCGCCTTGGCCGCTTGCATCAGCGGTGTAATGCCATGCACTGTGTTTCCTCTTAGTCCCTGGGTAGTATCTATCGTTAGTCATGTTCCATTGTTGAAGACTTGTGATGGACCTGGATACTGCTGCTTGGCTGTGCAAGCAGCAGTTGCACCGCAGCTAGCCTTCCTTTCTCACATGCTACCAAGAGCGGTGTGACGCCCCCTCGAACAGTCTCAGTCCACGGCGAACACTTCCACCGTGGCTCCAAGAGTATTTGCATCGCCACAATGTCGTCGGCAACAATAGCCACTAGAAGCGGCGTTTTGCCGTCTTGGGTTTCAAAATTCGGGTTTGCATGCAGTTCCAAGCATCGTCGAAGGAGGTCATGGCGTCGCTGGACTAGGCAACACAACAGGGGCGTCATGTGGTTCCAGCTCTCTTGGTCGGGGTCGGCGCCTTTCTCGAGCATATGGACAACCGCCACGCAATTCTGGGCTACAACCGCAGTCTCCAACTTCTCTCCCCACCAAACTTTGGACGCTCCAGCGATGCAATTCCTGCCATGTTCTCCTCAGCCATTCAAATTCGTTTCGCGATATACTCGAGCGTAACTACCGTTTCAAAGCATAGACAGCTGGCGCTTGTTCGATGTGGGCACATGCGACGTTGGCCAGCTCCACCCGGTCGTTGAAGCTGTCGACGCGCTTTTGCAACACAGTAAGTCGCTTGTGGCCACGCAGACCAGGGGTTTCTTCCCCCAAGTGCTCTTTCGTCGCAACAATGCGGCACTTTGCACTTTGTGTATAAATGAATTGCTCCAATTCGTATGCTTTCAGCGCATCGCTAGCCCGCCAAATTCGCTCGACAGCTCGGCACTCGGCGTCAAGACCGCGCATGGCTAGTGTCGCCGCACCCTCAGCCGCCTGATTCTCCAACTCTATTGCCTGTCGTTCTTGCTGACGCTTGCGGCCAAGTCGGCCAGCTCGTCGACGGGTAACCTCGGCTCGTCGCTGGACGGTGGCTTCGTATTCGGCATAAGCGTCTGCGAGGTGGGTTGTTGTCATATCGAGAGCATGTTGGGTTTTTCTTTGGTCGTTGGATTGGTTGGGCGTTGTAACGACATTTTGAATGGTGCAAGTGCGGTTTGAAACTCTAGCAGTGCCAACGTAGGCTTGCAAATATATTGGTAACTTTATTACGGTAGATCGTTCCTGGCACCGTCCACTTGATCTCTATCATGTCTATATGACGAGGAGGTGAGTTTGACCGTGGTGCAGAAGTGCTGTCTATTATACGTATATTCGTGAAACAGTAGCCAAGCATACCGCAAAGATACGTTAAAGTGTTATCCACGATTGGGAGTGAACCGGCGGCGTTTCGGAACTGATTCGTCGAGCTTTCTCGGTTACGAAAGGGCGTTCAGATGTGAACTAGTACTTCAGTTAATGACAACCCTTGAACGACGACTTTGCAGTAATGCATGATCCACAAGGCAATACTTATATTTCGACAATCAAGCCACGAAATGGTGTGTATGTTGGGGTGGATCGCGCATTGGCGACCTTAACGGTTTCGAAACGCGACGCTTTGGCTGTAACAGCTGGTGGTAAACCTTCGTTTATCGACGAAATTTGACAAGGCGGAGTCACTTCCACTTTTGAGCCCAGCCAAGTAGTTGAAGAAGCGTGACTGATGGCAACGAGCGAGCTACCTTTTCGGGGCAGCGCTATTCGCGCGGCGATTGTCGGTGCGATGTCGGTGCTCTCAGCCTCAACTGACATCGGTATGACCATCCATAATTAGTGACTGCTCCATATTATTGGGATTTTTCACGAGTGCTTTGCGTAGATCCTTTGGCTATTGCGCAAGCCATTTCCAACGACGGTCGGTCGGGCTCGTTGGTGCAAGCGGACAAACCGTCCACGAAATCGAACGGCGATCAATCCATGTCCGATGGTACCACATCAGCTTGGTTTTACCACAGTTCTTCACTTGAATTGGGCAGATATGTGTTCGTGGTCAACGTGTGACCAAAACGTGTACCAGTTCTTGGCCAATCCCAGTCAATTATGGGGCTTTACGCCGTGTCAATCGTGCGCTGGCCCTGGTCAAAAGTGCGAAAATGCCACTGTGTGCCGTGACGATATGTATTTGGGGTAACCAATCACCATAGCTATGAATCAACTGGATTTGCTAATGGACGTAGCTTTGACCAAGTGCAAAATCGCTCGTTCCCCCCCGGTCACCCCCGCAAGTCGACAGCGTGTGCCTTGAACACGCAGTCGAAAAAGTGCATCAACGCCGTGTACCAGTTTTGTTGCCTTCCTGGGTACTACATATGCCCCATGAATTGCTTCGTAGTTTCTCATGCACTAGTGACGCTTTAGATCTCCTGGATGTGGTAATACAGACGTGCCTACATGCACCGCGGGCGGATGCGCGCAGTTCGTTCAACGCGGGTCGGCGCCCCCTGGTTCCGTCGTGATCCCATGTCCGTTCTTGAACACGTCTGCCACGTGCGACGCCCCGGCGTGCAAGGATCCGTGGTGGGTGCAAGAAATCACGGCCGACTTCTTGTCTGGTAAAAACAACTGTCGCGGTCCCTCGTGCAGCAAAGCCCAAGTAGGTCATTATCACCATTGCCCTGGATTCTTGTTTCAATTCAATATTCATGGGTTTGGTATGATCAGATGGTGCGAGCTTGCAAATATGTGACACCGCCGCACACCAATAATTTCACGGCGACTGCCTTCCCGACGACGACTGCTTTGCCTCCAAACGGCACCACGACAACCAATGCCCCCACCCAAGCCCCCACCCAAGCCCCCACCCAAGCCCCCACCCAGGCCCCCACCCAAGCCCCCAC